TTATTATTATTATTATTATTATTATTATTATTATTATTATTATTATTATTATTTCTTCCCACGCCCTCCCACTTCTCCTCCTCCCTTTCTCCTCTGAGATGAGGGCGATTTTTGTTGGTGTTGAGTTCATCGAGAGCCTGGAGGGTCCCTGTTGTGAATTCTTATGTTTAAGAGTTTGCTGCCATGACCAATACCTCACAGGGAGCACCTGAAGAAGAGAGGCTGTGTTTGAGTTTATAGATCCAGTGGCTATTGTCCTCAGCAAAAGCATGGTGCTAGGAGTGGAAGGCCCTTGGTCACATTGTATCCCGAGACAAGAGCAGCAGGAGTAAGCAGGGGCCAGGCCATAAACCCTCCAGGCCTGGCCCCAGTAACCTACTTCCTCCCTCAAGGCTCCACTTCCTTAAAGGTCCACACCCTTCCCAGACAGCAGTCGTGAAGCCAAGGGTTCAAGCGCGTGATAGTGTGGGGGACATTTCACATCCATACAGATAGTTTTAGTCGCAGGGGAAAAATTCCAACAATAGGGAAAAGGTGCAGAGCCGCTGAAATCTACCTGCTCTACAGATGATGAAATCAGAGTCTGTTGAAGGGTCCGCCAGCACACTGGAGGCCTGGGTGCCAGGCATGGCTGTTATCCACAGGCCGAGTTCCAGAAACCTCTGGCTGGCACTTATTTAAACCGGCAGGTTCCTGGGCCCCCGCCCAGCATATTGGGCGGACTTTCTGAGGTGGAACCTCGATGTCTATCGTGCTCCCCGGAGGACTCTCCGACCTGAAGTGCTTGGTGGTCACACTTCGGTGCCTCTCCCAGACCAAGCAAAAATACAGCCCCAGCCTGGCCTCTGCCGGGATAGGCGGCAGCATGGCACAGAAACCCTGTCAGCCATCGCTGGAGAAGCGGTCTGGTTTCATGGGTTAGCACCATAATAAAGTTACTTCCCTGGGGATTGAACTGCTTCTTCCCAAGTGTGTAAAACCAAAGCCAAACAAATAATTGCTACCAGTGTACGCTTGCCTGGCCACTGGCTCTGTTGGCCTCTGTGACAGGGAGGTTAAGTCCTGTGCAAGTTTTGAGTTCTTTCTGGTCTTCTGAGCCTGCTCACTGGGTCCCCCTGCATGGGAGCTCAGACTCTTCCCTCCACGGGACATCCCTCAGCCACTGCTCTGAAAAGTAGGGTTTTGTTGTTGTTGTTGTTTTGGTTTTGTTTGTCTTTGTTTTGCTTTGGTGACTTGCTACTGATGACACATCTGGCTGAGGCGTCACTGGAGGTGATAATCTCTTAACTCCGAAGTGGGGTACTGCTTTGATTAGCCTTTCAGTCTGCTTTGAGAGAGAGCTGGAGACGTGCCGGTGAGGACACGGAGTAGAAGCAATGATGGCTTTCAGAATGACCCATCTGGACGGTTCAAGAAAGTCTGCCTCTGTCTCGTTTGTATAGGTCTGCTCGCCTAGGTACGGCACCTCCCCTCTCCCAGGTTGTGAAGGAGAAGGTGGCCCACGCTGGGCCTGGGGCAGATGGCTTGCAGAAGAACAAGCTGCCCCAGCAGTGTGACAATGCCCCACCCTCCGGGCAAAGCATCCTAGACCTTCCACATCTGCAACACTCTTTTTTCCTTCCTTCCTCTTGTGTCTTCCTTAAAACTCTGGGACCTGGAATTTAGCCAGATGCACCACTTCCTTGTCCTACATGGCCAGTCCACAAAGCCATCACCATTTTCATAAACTTTTCCCCATTTGTTTCCTTTTCCCATGGTACCCCAAACTCGTTTCTCCTGGGAAAGGAGTAAGGGGGTGTTGTGAAAGAATAGGATAATGTAGAATAGAAACCCAGACTTTAAATTCTTTTATTACTTTTATTTGTTTGCTTGCTTGTGTGTGAGAGTCAGAGGACAATTTGAGGGAGTCAAGTCAGTTCTCTCCTTTTACCTTATGGGTGCAGGGGATGGAACTCTGTTTGGCAAATTGTCAGCAAGCACTTTTACCCACTGAGTCCTCTCACTGGCTCCAAACTTTTTATTACATTAAACTTGGAAAATGCAGGAGAAAAATTTAACCTTTCTGAAACTTATGGCCAGAGCTAACTTGCTTCCCCTCTGTGTGGTTTAAAGATCTGATTGTCGCAGTATATCCAGAATTGGCTTTCGTATTCCTTTATTAATCTTTTGGTTTTCTGAGACAGGGTTTCACTGTCCTCTTGGCTGGCCTTGAATTCACAGGCCTCTCACCCCAACCTCTGGACCTGGGTGACAGGCCTGTGCCCGCACACACTGTCTGCATCACAAGTTCTGATGCCTCTGTGACTGCCTTCCCTCATGCCTTCTTCTCAGTCTCCATCTGTTGTCTGATTCACTTACAGTAACACGCTTTGTAAAGACAGGCATTGTGCCCGTCCTATGTCATTGGTAACAAAGGAATGACTGTGTTGTATTTGTTTCTTGTTACAGAGAAGTCATTCACAATTCCAAAGAAGTTCTGAGCTTGCTGCAAGAGAAAAACCCTGCCTTTAAGCCAGTTCTCGCTGTTATTCAGGTGAGCTGTGAGCCTGGTACTCTCCCACTGTTTATAAACGGAGACCAGATGCCTGTCCGGTCAGTGGCAAGTGCTGGTAGGTGGTTTTCTTCTGAAGGGTTGTGGGTCAGCCTAGAGTCTTGTCTTTATCTGAGTCATACATTCTGTGGCACAGGTGGCTCACTGGGGTTGGGAGGTAGGCACCCAGATACATCACTGGACAGAGAACAATTATAACCCACATGCACTTATGAATACTTATCAAATAGGGCTTGCTCTCCTGTTTCTGTGGAAGACAACGGGTAATGGCTGGTGCACATTACTGTTTTACGGTCCAAGTGTCAAAAGTCATTAGTTTGCGAGAGGACCTTGCATAACGTGTTTATCCTCTGGTGGCTGCCCCTTGGTCCTGAGCTGCAGTTGGCACTGTTACTGGCATCCCCGTTTGGTGACAGGTACAGGGAAATAACAGGATGATCCCGGCCTGGAAGCACTTTGGCCCAGTAGTTGGCCTAGTATGGTGGTGCTTGGCAGGCTGGTCTGGTATCAGCATCGCAGCCTCTATAGCCAATGGTGCCGTGGCTTGTGAGATTGCAGGATTGTGCTCATATGACCTATGTCCTCTGGGAAGCTTCCACAACCCCTCCTAGCATGGGAGTTGGTTTGGGAGCCAATGGGAATCTGGGTACATGTTGCCATTCAACCGAAGCACAAACATCCAAATTCCTGACTTTGATGGTTTACACAGAGCATGAGGTTGGCTGTGTGACCAGGATGCCATCATTCTTCTATGCCCCATGTCTTGGTTACTTTTCTATTATTGTGACAAAACACCATGGCTGTGGAAGTCTATAAAAGAAAGCATTCAGTCGGAATTATGGTTTTAGAAGGTTAGCATGTATGTCAGAGTAAAGGCATGGAGGTAAGAACTGTTGGGAGAAAACATCTCGATCCTCTACTGGGAGGCAGAGAGAAACACTGGGAATGCTGCAAGTCTATTGAAACCTCAAGCCCACCCCCAACACGCCTCCTCCACCTAGGCCATACCTCCTAATCCTTCCCAAACAGTTCCACCAACTGAGGACTAAATATTCAAACATATGAGCCTATGGGGATGTTCTTGTTCAAAACACTATACCCTATAACGTGAAATCTATCATTTTTTTAAATGGCATAATTTTTAGCCCAAGAAGTTATTATGTACATAAATCCCAGCTGTTAGCTCAATTTTCAGTCAGTAAGAGTTTTTGTTTGTTTGTTTTTGTTTCCTGTATTTTTCTTATCATCTTTGTGTTCCAGTCACTTGTGTTCATTGTATTCACAAACTAATCGTGTTGTGTTTGGTACACATTGTCAAGCAATTTTCCCGATGTGATTTTCTCCTTTCTGCTCCTTTATCCTTAGGCAGGTGATGACAGTTCGATGCAAGAACTAAATCAGAGTTTGGCCAAGGAGGTGAGAGATGATGATTTTAGCAATTCATTAGAATTCCTCACAGTATATATTCTCTTGTGGTGACAGAGAATCTTGTGTTCCCTTTCAGGCTGGTCTGGACATCACTCACATCTGCTTGCCTTCAAACAGCGGAGAGGATGAGGTAATGTCAGCCTCGCTCATTTCCTTTTCTTATCAGGCCTATAGACATCTTTCCTGGGTGATGAGTGCCAGCCCAGCCTTTTTCTGTGGCTGAGTTTCCAGGGGGAAGGGACCTCTCTGCGATGCGAAAGCTCCTGATCACTTCAGTCCTTTGCAGTTGATTTCTACTAAAGACAAGCTGGGACACTGTGGTGAATAAAGCTGTTTGTTCGCTGTAGAAGCAGCATTTCGTGAGGAGATTTTTGGCTATCTTGAAGCCCAGCTCTGATTTTACTCTATCCAGACATCTTTGACCTTGGACCTTTGGCATCTCAGGGTCACCGCAGCCTTATTGATGTAATGTAGGGTTAGGAATGCTTCACTGGCGTTCTGGGGACAGCTGGTAGACTCTCCATCCAAGGCCACACGCTGTCCCTGCCGGCATCATTCCCCAGTGTGCCGTGTTGCCTGGGGCATAAGCCCTAGTGGCTAGCTTTTCTTTGGCTGGCTGTGGCAGGGAGGGTTTGAGGATAGGGTTGGGTTAGGGCTCCTGGATACACAACCTCAAATCACAGGATCTGGAACACCAAAGTTGGCTGTTGGGTTTTTTGGGGGGAATGGGGAGAGGCAGACATGAATGATGTTTGAAAATCAGTCACTTGGCTAGGAAAAGCATCCCAGAGTCAGGAGAACTACAGCGCCTCCTTCCCACTGCTCTGGCATCTCTGTGGTGCACCACTGCCAAGCGGACGAAGTTAGGGTCAGCCGTCTGGTCCTAGCCATTCCCACCAGGGGCAAAAGCGACTGCACCCAATAACGACTATTTAAAATTATTTGAACGATGGTTCAAATTACCTCAAAGCAATTTTTGCTAGACACAGAGGCAATACGGAAAGACATCCAGCAGATACCTTAAAGTGCAAATAGTTCAGTCCCTACAGCACTGTGTGGCTTCTCTTTGGCTTAACTAAATCACCAGTGTTGATGCTCTTATGCTTTAGCCCGTTATTCAGTAAAGGAAAACTTCCTTAAGCATAACGCTGTGAAGCCACCACGTTGATCTGGGAACTCAAGTGACTCCCACGTCACTAAGGAGCGGTCCCGTTCACCAGTGTAGATTGAGAGACAAGGGGCTAATTCATGTCCAATTCGTTCTAGATCTCAGTGAGGTGTACAATTTCAAGCCAATGAATTGTTTATTTCTGGAACTTTCCTTTGGGTGTTTTTTGTATCACGGTTGATGAAGAGTAACTGAAACCTTAAAGTGTGAAGTAGCCTGCAGTCTCCTTCAGGGCTGGGCAGAAGGGTTTTTTGTTTGTTTGTTTGTTTGTTTGTTTGTTTGTTTGTTAATAGGGAGGCGTAAGCTTATGTGTGATGATGTGATGAGGGAGCGGCTTGGTGTTAATAGATTGGTGAAGGTTGCTACCCAAGAGCAGTCTGTTCTCAGGGGTTACTGTCTGTGTTCAGCCTGAGAGAGCCCCGAAATTCAAGCATCTAGAAGAGAAAGCTTGGCCAAAGTTTGCTTTCAAATGCATTTTGTTTTGCTTGAACCAGTAGTTGGTCCAGTCGCTGATGAAATGAGAAGTGTGTTTTTGTAGTCTGTCTTTCTGTGTCTTTAGTAGCTGTCATGACCTGAGTCTTCTCTAGATCCTGTGGGGAAAGGTAGTTCTCTGCAGCACACAGGGTTGAGGGTGACGGTCTCCATTGCCCCTCTTTCCCAGCATCTCAGGTAAAGTTCATTATCCTGATAGTTAGGAAAGAGATAAAGGCAGATGCCTCCCTATGTTCTTCCTTCTAAGGATGTCTTCTGCAAGCCACAATTTTGCTCCCATCCCATCTGCTATAACCTCATTGTCTGGCCACATTGTGAAGGAATTGGGAAAATCGGTCTTAATGCCAGGAGGCCTATAGATCATTTCTAAGAAAAAAAACGGAAGCTAGGTCCTGGACAAGTAGCTAATACTGTATTTGCTAGTTATTATATATACCAAATGAAGGCTCCGGCAGTAACAGGGGGCAAAGAAGCTGGCCTGCCATTTCCAGGGCCCTCCCTGTATACAGTCACACTTTTCTTTAGGCTGTTTCAACTGTGTAGCCCAGGCTAGCCATGAAAACACTATGAAGCCCAGTCTCCCTAAATTCGTAATCCCCCTGCCCCAGGCTCCAAGTACCAAGATTATAGATGCACACCCATAACACTTGGTTTGACTATTTTTTAATAAGGGTTTGTGAACGCCCACTCCTTTTTTCAAATCGGTCTTTCTTTTTTTCGGCTGAAATTTTGATAAATGAGTATGGCATTATTATGTCAAGTGTTTTAATTTATTAAGCTTTTATGTTTCCAGTTTTGCTTTATTTTCGTTAGTGTTTCCCACCCTCGGTACAGACGAGGCCAATTTCTTGTTTTATCCTGGACTCTGCTTACATTGAAACCTCTGACCACAGTCACCGTGTGACTCTTCGCCCTGTTTGTCGATCACTTCCAGAGCTTATGTCATCACTGCTGTCGGGCTGGGGCTTGCTTCCTTGTTAGCATATCATGTTGACCAGGGCAGCTTTACTTACGGCTGTTAGGTCCCCTACTTAGAACCTGTACAAAGTAGATGCTCAGAACATGTTTGTTTCAAATATGTGAGGGATGGGTGCGTACCCGTAAGTGCTGAGGCCGGGGAGCTCAGAGGGACCTGATCACCTGGGACTTGAGCTGTCGGTGCTTCTGAGTCACCCGAAGTGGACACTTGGAATAGAGCTCCGATCTCTCGGAGAGCACCGTACTGAGCCGTTTCTCCAGCTCCCAGCCTCGCCAAGTTTGTTTTAGTAGCAGAACACACATGCGCGCACACAAATCATCAGTCAAGGCCCTTGAAAAATATATCAGTGAAGACAGGCATCCTGTGGTTTGTGGGCAGGAAGGCAAATCTCAGCAGTAAGTCTCAGATGCCATCTGATGGCCGTGTTGAGGCCTCTGTGTTGTCCACTCCGAGCCTCTCAAGGCTTCTAGGGTTGGTAGAGGCCACTCATGTGATACTATGTTCCGAATGAATTTGATCTGGTCTTCAGGAGGCTGTTAGATTAAACATACTGGTGGGCAGCAAATGGCCATAAAGAGGATTAAAGAACGCCCGGATAATTTTTCCCCAGATCTAGAACATTCCAGCTCTCCACAATCAAGATGTTCTAGACAGCCTTGTAGAATCTTTAACATATGTCACTTTTTAAAATTTATTTATTTTTCCTGGAAACTTAAACTCACAGCTGAATGAATAAAACAAATAGCCTGGTTTTTCTTCTGGTTTGGTACACCAAATAGCGTTTTCCTTCCCTACCAGATGGTAGTAGTAGATACTTTTGCCAAGCAATAAAATAAAAATTGCAGAGTGACACTTCCTGTGTGTGGCCCCATATACACGAGTAGGAATCTTTCTCCTTTTCAGTCCATGGTTTTATTAAATAAGTCTATCTAAGTGCTTGAGTTTCTGTGCCAGACCTTAGGGGAGGCTCCTGTCATGATGCTTGGATGCAGTGAGCCAGAGGGCCTGCCTACCTGGTTGGACTCACTCAGGGAAGCCTCTATTGAGCATGTGCTAGCGTGGGTACCATAGCCTCCTGGACCTGGGCGGGGTGCTTGGAGGCATGCATCCTGGCCTCCCCCAAGCTGCGGTTGTTTGACTTAACACTGTCGTTGGCAAAGAATTGTCTTTTGTCTAAATGGAATAACAGTGAAGCTTTGGCGTTTTGATGTTTTCTTGCATGTGGCAGGACTATAGGAACTTTGAAGCCACTAAAAGTTTTATTCACCCAGGTTTCTTTGGGGCTTTTCTAAGCATGTTATAAAGAGGAAACGGGCTCTTCACTGCGTCTCACATTCAATAAGGAGTGAAAGGAAACCAACATTTGCATTTTTAAAATCTGTTTTTCTGTGCATATAAATGCCAGTGTTTGTGTGCACATGTAGGTGCAAATGCACAGCCAGAGAAGGAGCCGTGCACCTTTTTCATCTGTGGGGCGGGGTCTCTCATTGCGCAGAGCTCACCTTGTAGCCTAGGCTCACTGATCAGAAAGTCCCAGAGACCTGCATGTCCCCGCTTTCCCGGTACTGGGGTCACAGGGCTGTGGTACCAAGGCCAACATTCTTCTTTAAATGTAGGTTCTAGAGAGCCAGCTGAAGTCATCAGTGGGCACACACATTACCAACTGTGCCATATCCCAGAGCGTAGAAAACACTTTCGTTTCCTCCATCAACTTTTTGACTAGCTCTTGCTTTCACAAAACTAATGGGTTGTTTTGTCTTGTTTTATCTTTTCTGTTTAGATCATAGATGAAATCTTGAAGATTAATGAAGACCCCAGAGTGCATGGCCTGGCCCTTCAGATCTCTGAAGATGCATTGAGCAATAAAGTTCTCAGTGCTTTGAAACCAGAAAAAGATGTAGACGGGTAAGAGAATGTAAACAAAAACAATCAATAATAACCCATCTCATTGATAAGTGGCTGTGTATGGTGATTTTAATTTTCTAAGTTTCTTATTTTTGCCACTCAGTAACTAGTTCAAAAGGAATCGTTTTTTAATAGTGTAGAGGTTTGAGAACTTTAAAAATTCTGTGAATGAAAACCATGTATCTTGGGAAATGCATGTCTGTTTGGAGGTAATCCTGCACCATCATATCTACGCAGCAAGCTCCTGACCTTCTGACTGAGTCTTTGGCCAGGAATAATCTTTCCTGGGTAATTCTGCCAAACAGTGAAAAAAAGAAACCTGAAGCCTGATTCCCCAGGAACACCGAAACCTCCTTTACTCCTGGACTGGTTGGGGAGACTGTGTTTCCTAGGGAGTAAAAGTTCCATTTTCTTATATGGAAGCATAAGAAATACTTCGTCCTGTGGCTGAGACAACAGGGCTTATTTAGGACTCTACGGTTGTAGACAAACGCAAAGTTAGACTTCTGTCTAGTGTATCCTTCAGCAGCTGACTGAAAGCTTGATACCTCACAAAACTACCCTGGCTGACACCACTCCGTCCTTTCTTTATGACAAGGAGTAGACTCACACAAGGATGTTGTTCTGTGAGGGCTGGCATGGAATTCTGTGGGAGAGTGTGCGCACAGGTAGGACACTGAGTTCTCTGGGATAGAGGTATGTGTGGATGGAGATTGGCTGGTTGGATGGATGATGCAACCGCCAACTCTAGAGTAGAGTAATTGTGAAGGGAGAAGATGCCGCAGTGGAGTAGGAAGCCCTCAGGTTCAGACCTTTCTTTCATACAAGGAGAGAACCACAAAGACTTTCTGGATGTCTTCATTCTGTTACTGATCCGGGTAGGGAAGATTGTCTTGGCAACCCTTTGTAGGTTCCTCGCTCTAGATTTGGCTGGAGAAAGGTGCCCAGAAGCCATTGGTAGAAAGTACGTGGTTACTATTTTTCCCCCTTAATTTTCCACGGAGATGAATACCAAAGCCAAGCGGATGTCGGTGGATTGATAGACTCAGTCCAGAGTTCTGGAAGTGGGCCGCTGATTGCCTAGGGTCAGGGTCTTGGGGATGTCCCTGAATCTGTGAAGTGCAGCCCTACATGGCCCCCGCTGGGCCCTTGGGAGTGTCCTGTACTGCGCTGAGAAGCTGGCGGCCTCCATTTTCCCCTCCCTCTTCAGTCATCGACTTGCAGTTATTTATCTGGGGCGGATCCTGTACGTCACCACTGGATTCTGTGTGTCACCACTAACCTCTCTTCCTTTCTGCTTCAGGGTGACTGATGTCAACCTGGGGAAGCTGGCACGAGGCGATGTGCCTGAGTGTTTCGTTTCACCTCTGGCCAGAGCTGCAGTAGAACTTGTTGAGAAATCAGGTCTGGAATGATCGATCCTGTTTACTCGGGGAGGGAGGGTACTTTTTGTTTTTCAGTAAGGATTTGTTGCTGGAAGATTCTAAATGAAACACAGAAAAGAAATGCTATTTTCTACCTATTGCTATTTAGATAATATTTTAAAATAATGCCTGTTTCTGGAATATTCTAGTTGAAGCTTCAAAGTGCTATTTAATGTAGAATTTATTTCTCTCGGTTTTTATTTAGGGATGTAAATAAAACTGAAAGCATTTTCTAGTAAGATTAATAAGATGGCTACAAATGAACATTAACATTTTAAACATTCATTTCTCTAAAGAAACAGTCAAAATAAGCATAGTGAAAATGTCCTCTGATTCAGAAAATCTGTCACTCTGAAGGTGTAGGTAACTCTCAGTTAAAAGTGACTCAATCTAGCAGGTAGATTTTGTATAGAAAGATTCCAGGTGAGACTTATTATTAACAAGTGGGTCGCTTTGATAGCCAACACAGTTTAATTGGTTTCATTCTTCTTTTGACCACACATTCCTGTGCCAGGAATATGATAGATAGATAGATAGATAGATAGATAGATAGATAGATAGATAGATAGATAGATAGATAGATAGATAGAGGTAAGTGATTTATTTTTTGATTACTGACTTTAGCTCGTAATTACTGTACGTACTGGCTGGTTTGGGGTGTCAACTTGACACACACTAGAGTCATCAGAGAGCAAGGACCCTCAGTTGAGGAAACGCCTCCTTGAGATCCAGCTGTAAGGCATTTTCTCAATTAGTGATCAGTGGGGAGGGCCCAGCTCATGGTGGGTGGGGCCATCCATGGGCTGCTGGGCCCAGTTTCCGCAGGCCAACAAGCAGCAGCCCTCCACGCTCCTGCGTCAGTTCCTACCTCCAGGCTCCTGTTCTGCCTGAGCTGCTGTCTTGACTTGCTTCAGGTGATGGACTCTGATCCGAAAGTGTACGCCACATAAATCCTTTTCTCCCTAACTTACTTTGTGGTGTTTCGTGGCAGCAGGAGAAACCCTGACTAAGACACCGAAGGATGGCCCACGTAATTAATGGCTTCCTAACTTGACACCACAGAAGCTCAACTTTTCTGGGCCCCAGTTTGCAGAGACAATAAGCAGATGCCCCTCCCCGACACTCAGACATGCAGCAGTCAAAATTCCAAAAAAAAAGTGAAGTTAAAAGATGAACTTTCAAGATGTACCTTTTAGTCAGCAGCCATTAAGATGAGACCTGTGGAGCTGGTCCGGTGCATCCACTCCTGCAGGTCCTCAGATGCTCTTGGGCTATCACTGTAGGGTGAGCAACCTCCCAGGGGCTCCATTCCTGCAGAAAACAAACACTATCCTGGCAGCCATTGTCTGCCTGCAGCTTCTTAACTGGAAGTAGGGTCTTAGGAGACTGTCCATGCTGGAGTGTTGACTAGATTGGTCCTGTGCTGGCACCATAGCTCTTGAGAGCTCATGAGTGAAGCTGTCACCGTCATATCTAGAAGACGCTGTTTTGCAGCATCTTTCCACTCTTCTGAGGTGGTCTCTGAGAAAAGCCACTTAAAAGATGTTCTTTCAGTTAAAGCTGTCTGGAAGGAAGGTTCTGTGGATTTTAATATTGAATTTTCATTGGTTGGTAGGGATCACCTTGGATGGAAAGAAGGTCTTGGTGATAGGGGCGTGTGGGCCCTTGGAAGCTGCTCTGCACTGTCTGTTCCAGAGGAAAGGATCCATGACAATGACCTCCTCGTGGGCAGCACCTCAGCTCCAAAACAAGGTAGGTCTCACACGGAACTCTACAACCTCGAATGCCCATTATCAGAAGAAGAAAGGCTGGGAATGTGTAAAGTGAGCATGGGACAGGACGTTAGAGGAATAACTATGGAGAAATCTTGGAGGAGGAAGATAGTGAAAAAGCAAAGCTTATTATGTCGGCTCAGTCCTACACTCCCAACATTTGGAAACCGGCTCAAGGCCAGCCTGGACTGCAGATGAAACTATAACTAAACAAAACAACAAGATCAGTTATTAATGTGGTACAAAGCAAATGTCTGTGAGAGATCTTTAACAAAGCTCAAAGCTGGCTCTTGGAAAAGGTTAGAAAACAGACACGTAGTTATCCAGAATAAGACAAAACGAATAGCAGCTGTAACAAAAAAGAACAAGCGCCAACTCCTGCTCTAGTCTCATTTCTGTTGCTGTAACAAATAACCCTGACAGGAAGCAGCCCAAGGAAGAGGGTTTGCTTGACGTCCAATTCAGGCTGCAGTCCACCACTGTGGGGACGTCAAGGCAGAGGCATAAAACCTCATATGAATGGTCAAGAGCAGAGAAAACAAATGTTTGGGTCCTTGCTTGCTTTCTGCTAGCTTTCCCTTCTTATCCTGACTGTTCTTGACTCCCTCCTCCTCCTCTGCCTAGGGAATGTTTCCACCTATGATGGGCTGAGTCTCCCTTCATCAAGACTACATTTAAAAAGCAGCAAAAAGTTGGTCACAGATAAGGAGTAGTTACAACAAAGGTTTAGCTGGTGATTGCTGTCTGACTTAGAAATCAATAAGGCAAAAATAATCCATAGAAAAACGGCAGATAGCCATTGATAGGCATGTGATGACTGAGCGACCTTTGAAAAGCTACCCAGCTCCTTATGATTTGTGCTCACCAACCATGCTGTAAATAGTGACAAGTATAGACACTAACAAACTCACGCAAGTACAAGAACCAGCATATTGCTTAAAGACTTCAGAGTGAAATACGCTTTTAAAGAGCCCTTCAGTGGAGTTTAGGGCACTCTTGACCCTGATGTTTTCCTGTCTGAACATATCATAGACAGATTCTTGGACACACAAACAAGAAGACGTGGTCAGGGGTTGGGGACATTGCTCAGTAGTACAGCAGTTGCCTCATGTGCTTGTGGCCCTAGCTACAATCCCAGCCTGAAACAAAACAGAAGGGAAAAACCAGAAATAGCAAAACATGTTTGTTAAACAAAATAGAAAATCTGAAAAAGTGTACCAGAGCAAGACGGGAAAGCAGGGGGCCAAGGGGACCTCTTTTCTTTTACTTTTAATAATGAAATTGCTCTCATTTCATTTTTCTGCATCAAAAGGTCAGGCATGAGGTTGGAGAGATGGCTCTGTTGGTAGAACCACCTGAGTATACATGAGGACCTGGGTTCAAAACCTGAGCGACCTCTTCAAACGCAGGGTGTTTTCACATGTACCCATAACCCCAGTGGCAGCAACAAGAGGATCAGTGCGAGCCTCGCTGCCGTTTCATAGACAGACTCTGTCTGGAGGGAATAAGGCAGGGAGTGGTGGAACAGGACAGATGTCTAGGGTCTCCCTCTGGCTCCAAATGTGCATCTGTGTGTGTGCGTGCGCATGAAGACAAATACACACACACACACACACACACACACACACACACACACACACACACACCATTCACCTTGGAGTACCAGAGAAAGGGATGGGGTAACAGCTCGTGTGGGACTCTCTATAGTCCTTGAGATGACTTTGAGAATGGAGGGAGGGAGTGAAAAGCGATCATCCTTCAGCGTGGGAGGGACAGGAGTGAATGACGTGCTTTCCTTCCCCCTCTGAGGACTTCTCCCCTCTTCTTGCTGTTCCTCTCAACCTCCTTCCTGCCCTGCTCTCTGCTCTCTCCCAGAGTCAGTCTTTAATGGTCACCCCAGTGGGATCATTCTAAGGCTGTTAGTTTCTACCATGCAGCGAAGGCCATGGAATCACATCCTTCCTGGGTGCATAACAGCCGCCAGAGACAGTCGATGAAAAGCACTTAGCAGACTACCTGGCTTGTAATTAGGGCTCAGTGGGCTGTAACAATCTATCTTTGAATTCTCTATCTTCTTTCCCCTCTCCTTCCTTGACTTATTGAGTTTCATGTGTGATATGTTTAATATTTAATGTTCCCATTTTTTACTTATATGTACTGAAGAAAAATGCTGAGCATGTTTTGGGCAGCTTTATCTATGTCCAGGTTGGGTGAACTTTAATGAATAATGTTATAAAGGAGGATGAGGAGGAGATGCAGCTCAGTTGGGAGGGTGCTCGCCTTAGCATTCGCAGACCCAGCACGGCGTGCCTGCTGGAATCCCAGTGTTCACCTAGGAGGTATGGGCGGGAAGGTCAGACGTTCAAGGTCACTCGAGAACCCAGTTAGCCCTGCTGTTCTTGCTGTGCTGCTCAGAAGTAACCATTCTAGAATACAAAACCGGAGCAAAGGGGGTGGCTAACCACAGCGCTTCAACCGATGGTGGGTGTCAGCTTAGCCATGCCCATTATCCGGCTGAGCCCTGCATCTAAACACTTCGGGTAGGAGTTGACTGCCTGCATTCAGAAGGAGATGAAGAAGGAACCTGGTCAGGCACGGTGGCCATGCCCGTGACCCCAGCACTCAGGAGGCTGAGTCGGGGAGATAGTCAGGGTAAGCCTTGCTCTACGTAGTGTGATATGCGAGTTCGGAGGAGTCATTTATTTATAGATTTTTACTGAGACTTTAGAAGACATGTATAATTTTTACTTATTTTCTAACATTATTAGAGCCTATCTTTTAAGAGAGGAAGTGTGTTTCTTGTTTGGTTGTTTCGGTTTTTTGAGACAGGGTTTCTCTGTGGAGTCCTGGCTGTCCTGGACTTGCTTTATAGACCAGGCTGGCCTCCAACTCTCAGAGATCTTCCTACCTGCCTCCCTGAGTGCTGAGATTTCAGGAGTGATTTCAGGAGTGAGCCACCACCCGGCTCCTCTGTTTCTTATGAGTCTTTTTGCCCATATGTATGTCTATATACCACAGGCATGTTGTGCCTCCAGAGGCCGCAGAGGGCCTTGGTCCCTGTAGGACTGAGCTACAGAGTTGTGAGCCTCCGTGTGGGTGCTCAGGGCCTTTGGACAAGCAGCCAGCACTCTTAACTGCTGAGCCATTCCTTCAGCCCCAAGCATTTGTTTCTTTATCTTAAGAAATTGATTCAAAATCAGGGGTGGTACCATTGGCCCGTTTTCTTATCCTGGACAGTGAGTGTCCGGCATGTATTATTATTATATCTTTCCATGTCTGAGAAACCTCGTGAAGCTTCTCATTTTAGAAAACAGCAGTGAATGAACACATCAGCTGTGGCCAGTAAGGCAGATTCTAGGTCGGCAGTTTTAGCTCACTGTGGTAATTACTCAGATCGGCAGGGCCTGGCAGTATTCGGTAGAGAATCCCACAAGAAGCCGTTTGTGAGTCGTAGACTGTCATCCTGAGCAGTGGGATGAGCTCCTGAGCCTTCTGCTCCTCCCTTCGTCCCCCTGCCCAGGGTGAATTAACCTTTGTCCAGCATAGCCTCACACCGTGAGCTGCGCTCCTCTTTGTCACTCAGTAGCCCTGCTGGGGCAGCAGGTCTCGCGTGGCAGGCGCTGTGACAGCTCTCGTGTACAACTGACCATCCATCGCCTTATTTAATAGGGGCCTCACAGCGTGAGAGTCGTGAAGCTGGTAATTTAGAAGCCAGAGAAACCCTAAGCAGCTTCCTCCGGTGAAAGGGTGAAAGCTGCGAGTCGGCATGTGTGCTTGTGAGTGGTCTAAGTGGTTTCTGACATGCGTCAGGGCTCGAGATCAGGGGGACTTCTCTGTGCTGAGCGACATGTGAAAACATGCATTACTCGTGGTCAGAGGTGGGGACTGAGGGGCAGAGGTCTCCTCCCACAGCTGGAATGGTGGCTTGGCAGGTGGGTCTACCTGATGCCGCGCTTGTTAAGACAGTTGGGAACGTGGTCTTAGAAGCAAGTACAGGAAACCCATGTGCGCTTCTAGTAGTCACCAGATGGGGGCAGCCTACTCCAGGAAATTCAGCAGCAATTATTTTTGCCTCTGGCCAGGGCCCCTCCCTCCCTCGCAGTCTCAACCCTTATGCTTCTTTAGCTTGGCTATCACTGAGTCCCGGACCTAGAATTTCTGGTTTGGAAGCAGTTGTGGTAGAGGAAAATAAGCCTTGCCCTGTGCTGAAAGGCTGGGGCGGCTGGAGAAGATGCCTTCACTGAAGCTGAGTGTTTTCACAGCTGTCCGGAGACTTTGGCTGGTTGTATCTGTATTTTTGAGAAACAAAGACATTTTTTTTAAAGTACTTTTTTATTATGAAAATAAATCACCTGGACTCTTCTGCCGTGTGAAGCTCAGCTCAGCTCCAAAGCGGATTCCGTGGCAGTGGTTTTTCCGGAGTCCGGAGCTGATGAACACATCTGCTCTCACATGTCTGAGAAGCATCTTTTAATAACTGAAACGCCTCTTCCTTATTCCTCCACGTTACAGCAGTAGTGTCGTGAATCTGAGACACTTGATTTTAGCCAAAAGGCTGGGAAGTGATACCATCTTTTGTGACTTTGTCACTTTCACTCTTCTGCATGTGTATTGCCGTGTGTTTGTGTGTGTTGGGTGTGGGGGAGGCGGATGGCTGAGTGTGTGCCTCTGTATGTGGAAACCAGAGCACAGGCCTAGGTGTGATCCTCAGGACCCGTCTGCTCTGTGGGATGGAATCTGTCGCTGGCCTGGAGTTCACCAGGTGATCTGTGCTGGCTGACCAGTGAGCTTCAGAGGTCTGTCCATGTACCTCCTCAGTGTGGGACTACAAGCACATACCACCCAGACAGACTGGAGTACTCTAACATAGGAGCCTGTGGGAGCCATTCTCGTTCAAACCAGCACAGAGGCCTTCAACAGAGTGAAGCAAAAGCCAGTACCAAGTTCTTGAACCTGGAAAATCAGAAACAATCTCACCCT